CTTAGAGTGAAAGGCTGCTTGGAAAGGCTCCTGGAATTGCGGGGCTTTGCATGACTAGTGAATCGCGCAAATTGCGGTTGCCGACGGGTGTGAAAGCCTATAGGTTGGTCCTATATAGTCACCGTGAATGAGTCGGCCCTACCGATTATAAATTACCACCCCACCTTTAAAGTTAGTTTAATGCACACCTAGACACGTACGGTGCTTCTGGAATCGCTTAAGGGGGTTGGCTGTAGGATCTGGCTTGGGCTTCCGATCTGACAGTTCACGATGGTTCTCTATATGTTGAGCCTCGGATCCGGGGCCCCAGGTGCAAGCGTTCGGAATCAATTAGGTTTATAGGCCGGGTCTTAAGGGCGAGGAGACTTTAGAAACACATAGTGTATATATAGGTGGGTTAGGGGCTCGTGGCTTGCGCTTAAGGGGCGTGAATTTTCAAGGTTGCGAGGTTAAGTTCGCAAAATGCCGGGCTCGAAGATCACTATACCAGGACGTGACAATCGGACCTATAAATTAACAGCATAGCTTAAGTTGACGTATTATTTATAGGTCCGGTTGACACGTCTTGGTAATTGTACGTACCCGACCATGGCACGACCCTTAATTGACCTGAAGTCCAAAAGCCTGGAGGAAGCCTTAAATCCACGAAGAACACCGAAAGCCTTAACAAAAACTCAGCTTTCAGCCTAAACCCAAAACCGTGAACTCTAACCCTAAGTTCACCCTGAATGTACTCCATAAACCTCACCCTAGGATCCTATCTAAAACTAAACCAGAACTCGTCAGTACTTAAGTACCCACCTGCATCAGCTTCAGAAAAAGACTCGCGAGGAACTCCCCGAATTCCTTCGTGTACTGCCTGGGCTGCAGAGGAGCGGTGACGGGTTTGGGAATCCTTTCCTGGTTCGCAGACGACTCAGAATTTATGACACACGCTAGCTTAAGGAGCGAGTGGCTGGGAGTTTTTGAGGCCCTGTGGCTTACCCGTGTGCCGTTTCACACCGTTCTTGTCGACATAGTGCACTGCCAGTCGTTCCTTAAATTGGCTCATTCGTTCTCGGCTCATGGCGCCAGCCCTCTCCTGCACAGCCTCGATGAGGCATTTGTCGTTTGACCACAGCCTGTGTCGCTTGGGTGTGGGGCCATTGAAATGGCCCATCCAAAAGCTGCCATTCCAAACCTGGGGCGAACGGATAGGAGCCGTTGCGTAACCGATCGGGCTACTCGACACAACATATTTGATTATCGGGCCTCGAATTTTCGCCAAAGATCTTGAAACCGTGGCATGTCCGGGAGGAAGCTACCATCTGGTTGCTCTATCACCCAGCGAAGCCCAAGGTACTGGGCCAGAGTCACCAAGAGGGCAACTCGAGAAGACAGCAAATTGCCCTGCTGTACGAACTCCAGACTTTGATTCCCATGCGGACGTAAGACACTTCGGCCTTGGGTATTTCGTGACCTCAAGCAGCGAGCCGTCTGTACTCACGACTCAGAGGCAGTAACTATATCAAATTCCTGATTCGTGCCAGGGAACATTAGAGTGAAAGATCGGCAGTCCAGAGCCATAACCACCAAGGCACCGG